TGCTATTCCAGCCCTGTGCACGACGTGCCCCCCCTTAGTCCAGTTCCAGCTACCCTCACCCCAGTTGTGTTGACACCCCCAGGCTCAATCCGCTGTCCCTGCTTGCTAGACTCTGGTGCTCACCAGATGTGTCACCATCTCTCCCCTGCCTTCTAGTCTGCCGGGAAGCTGCCTCCATGTGTGAGACTCTCAGCACTTTGCAGGACACCCTCCTGGACATGGCCCCGGAGCTCAACCGAGCCGTCACCAATGTGGTGTGCTCTCTGTGCTTCAGCTCCTCCTACAGGCGAGGGGACCCCACGTTCGAGGCCATGCTGCAGTATAATCAAGGTATCGTGGACACGGTGGCCCAAGCGAGCCTGGTGGACATCTTCCCCTGTCTGCAGGTGAGAGCTGGAGGGGGTGGTGGAAGAGGGGAGGTGGACAGTCGCTCTTAGCCCACCTCTGATTTGTCCCTCCTCACTTTTCACTGGCCAGAGTGGGCTGCCTGGGACTCTCCTAGTAGCCCATAGAACCTCTCTCTGGCTTGAGCAGCACCAGGCACGAATTCACTGAAGTCAGTGGGTGACTATAAAATCACCCTGGTCTACACTACGACTTTAATTCGGATTTAGCTGCGTTAATCCGAATTAACCCTTCACCCGTCCACACTACAGAGCCAGTTAATTCGAATTAAAGGGCACTTAAAATCGATTTCTGTACTCCACCTCGACGAGCGGAGTAGCGCCTAAATCGATTTTGTTAATTCGAATTAGGGTTAGTGTGGCCGCACACCACCGAATTACTGTGGTTAAATTAATGGGGTAGTGTGGCCGCACACCACCGAATTAATGTGGTTAAAAACCGAATTAATGTGCTTAGTGTGGCCGCGCACAATCGAATTTATACAACCTGTTTCCCAAATTCGAATTATCTAAATTCGGATTAATCCCGTAGTGTAGACATACCCATTATTGCTACGTTCACTGGGAGGTCAGTAAAACGACGTCCAGCGGCCAGTTGACGACCTTGGTACGTTGGTGGATTTGCACAAAACACAGAGCACAGCAAACACCAGCACTTAACAGAAGCACCAGGCGAAGGTTGTCATCTTGCTCCCTGAAGGACAGTCCCCAGCTCACTGCCGCAGCAACGGGCTGGCTCTCAAAGGTCCCTAGACATTTGCTGGACCTGCTGGGAGACCCAGGGCTCTGGAGGAAAAGGGCTAGTTTGGGAACCAGGGGGGACTTGCACCCCTGCCTCAGACGTCGCGGGGAGCACGTGGGGCCGGGCTGAGATGAAGTGGAGCAAATGGGCGTCACCACTGGTCTTTCCTGCCGCAGGTTTTTCCCAACAAGGACCTGGCATTGCTGAAGAGGTGCGTGGAGGTCCGAGACCAGCTGCTGCAGAAGCAGTTCAAGGAACACAAAGTAGGTGGCTCGGCGTGGCCGCTCACAGACCCGGGCCGGGCCTGGGACCCAGCCGCCGGGCAGGGCGATGTATTGCTACAATCTGCACCCCACGTTTCCAGATCATCGAGGCCCTGCCAGGCCCCAGTGGGGAAGCAGCAGGGACCAGTGGGGATCTGCATCCCCCATTGCTGATCTGTCCCCAGGCAGCAGGAGCCCCAGCGGACCGGCTACCTGCGTGACCCAGGGGATGGGAGCACACATCACCTGCTGTGTCTGGGGGGCTGTATGAAGGGAGGGGTTTAGAAGTACCAGGGAGCCATGTCCCCCCTCCCACCACCAATGTACAACCCTCACCTTACTCTAAGGAAAAGAAACTCTTCCCATACCCACAGTGCTTGGTGTACAGTGGGGAGGGGGTTATAGCATGGGATTGCCTGCCCCAGCGCTGCTAGTGCCCCCCCCCGCCCTGAACTCCAGCACCTACTGCTCCCCCAGTCCTGGGCTCCCCACGCTTAGCTCTGCCACCGCACCCCACTCTGGAGCGGGTAGGATAGAAACGTCCTGCAGCCGCGCAGATCTAGGGCCAATTCCCAGCTCTGCTGCTGACCCGCTTGTAACCTGAGCCAAGTCACGGCCCCAGCCCATGCCTCAGTTTCCCACCTGTAACATGAGGCTAATGATACTTCCCTGCCACCTTGAGAGGCCTAGTGAATAGGAGAGCTGGGTTCTGCCGCTGGGCTGCTGAGTGACCGTGGGCAGGCCATGTCCCTTCCCCTGTGCCTCCGTTTCCCCATCTGTAAAATGGGGCTAATGGTACTGCCCCCTCCCTTGCCAAGTGCTGTGAGACCTACTGGTGAGAGCGAGGTGTTATTATCCAGGATTAGTATTGTTCCCAGGCAGGGCTGAAGGTTGCCCTTGTCCCCAGCCCCCGCCGGGCGAGGGAAGGGAGTGCTGGGGAGGTGGGAGGTTTAGCCACAGGTTGGGGCAAAGAAGCTGCTCCCATCCATCTTGAATGGCTATCTTCACCTGGCTGGGAGTGTTGGGCCCACACCTCCTCATCCACCCCGGGGGGGGTCTTTCTGGATGGGGAGGGGACAACCACCCTCTAGGCCCATCCGATCTCCCCGGTGTATGAACTGACACTGAGGAGTAGCGGACGGCCAGGAGGGGCCCGGCCGCCCAGCTCCCCTTGCAGCCACCTCTGACCCCTGCTGTCCTGCCCCCTTGCAGGAAGCGCTGGGCAGCGACTCGGCCAACGACCTGATGGATGTGCTGCTGCGCACCCAGCTCAACATGGAGAACAACAACAGTCGGCTGGCCCAACCGCCGGAGCTGACGGATGACCATCTCCTCATGACCGTGGGCGACATCTTCGGGGCAGGCGTCGAGACCACCAGCACCGCGCTCAAGTGGGCTGTGCTCTACCTGCTCCACTACCCGGAGGTGTGTGCATCCCCCCTGCCCACCCGGCCCTTCTGCCCCACGCCCACCCCGAAGCGCAGAGCCCGCTGGAGAAGAGTGCCCAGAAGTCCCCTTCTAGGGTGCCCCCTCCTCCAGGCCATTCCTTGAGTGGCCCCAGGGCTCGCTGTCAAACATGGAGGGCAGGATGAGCGTGTCCCCAGTGACCTGGTCTGTCCTAGACTAACAACCTCCTCTGGAGTAGCTACCCCTTACCTGGCTTGGGCTAGGGTCCCCCTCAATGACCCCGGGTCCCTGGAAACCCCACTCAGACCCAGGCGAGCATTTAACAGCGATCCTTCACTGTCCCTTCCCCGTGCCTCCGTTTCCCCATCTGTAAAATGGGGCTAATGGTACTGCCCCCTCCTTTGCAAAGTGCTGCGAGATCCTTCACATCTGTCCTGCTTGGAGGGGCCAAACAGGTTGTTCTGGGTCAATATTGTGACAAAGTCGGGCCCTGCTGGGACGTATCGACTGGGGCTCTGCTGCACACCAAGCTAAGGACAGAACTCAGACAGTTTTTACAGAGAATCTCCACTAGCTTTTGGCCTTACAGGGCCCGGGACACACCGTGAGGGGTCCTGACTCAATCCACTAGGGGGCAGTAGTATATGTACCCTACCCAGGTCATTTAGTAGCTGGACCAAAGTGACGTGCTTTGCCATAGGGAGACCTGTAGCCCTTAGCAATCCCCTCCCTCGGCTAACGCTGGCCCGGCTGGACTGTGCCCCCAGGTGCAGAAGACGATCCAGGAGGAACTGGATCAGAAGATCGGCTTCGAGAGACACCCCCAGCTCAGCGACAGGCAGCAGCTACCCTACCTGGAGGCCACTATCAGCGAGGTCCTGCGCATCCGGCCTGTCTCCCCTCTGCTGATCCCACACGTGGCCCTTACGGACACCAGGTGAGACTTCTCTGGGCACATCCCAGCTCCTGGCCCAGCCCTGTCCCTCCTTTGACAGGGTGGGGAGGTGATGGCCAAGCGAGGCACTGAATTATTCCCTCTCCCACCACGCTGCAGCATTGGGGAATACACCATCCCAAAGGGAGCCCAGGTCATCATCAACCTCTGGTCCCTTCACCACGACGAGAAGGAATGGGACAAGCCAGCGGAGTTTAACCCAGGTGGGTCCTTTTCTCCACCCTTCCTTTGGGCTTAGCATCAGCACCCGCCTGTCTCTGCCCCCCGGGCTGATGTGGTCATTGCTGAGCCAGGCTGGGTTGAGAGGGAAGTGCCAGACTTTGCCTCTCTGTCTGTTACCGCCGAGCAAAGCCTGGAGCGGGCTGCAGCCCAGGTCACTGGCGGGGAGAGCTGCGGGCAGGGGCTCATTCGAGCTTGGAGGGGATCCCTGGGCTAGGAGGTGCTGCCCTCCCTCGAGTCCCCAGGCCACAGTCCCCATCCTCCCAGGCGGAGGACAGCGCGGGGCTGTATGGAGCCTAGCGACGCTGCTCCTCAAGCATCCAGAAGGGGGCGCTGCTGAGCAATGGCACCTGCTTCTCTCTGGGTATGTCTACACTACAGGATTAATCCGAATTTAGATAATTCGAA